AAGCTGCCATGAAAGGGGGGTTTCATTCTCTACCTCTTGTTCATGTGTTAGCTTCACATTACACTGAAATTATTTCTGAAAAACACCAAAATATTAGAATAGATATTAAAACTGCTAGTTGTGAATCAAATGAAGCTAATTGATAATTCTGTGAATTCTATTTGAAACTATTCTTTTTAAGTTGTTTTTCCTATTCTCAAAATGAGATCATAGCTGTATTTTCAAATGAGGCAGTCTTGCCACTAGGTGCATATAATTCTGAAAAGTGAATTATGAGTTCATTGATTAACATGTCACTTAAAAATTTCTAGTAAGACTTGAGCTGCATTCTTCTTTTTATGTGTGATTAATCATATTTTGCTGCAGTCTCTAGAACTTGTCTTGTTTCTTAGTCGAATATGCAATTTATAGTTTTCACATATATGATGGAGGCCATGTTTGATTATACCTAGTCAACCTAAATGTCTTCCTTTATGATTGAATGTCTTAGTTCACCCCTTTGAACTTAATATCCCTTTTTCTTAAAATTGCCTCATTATAACCCCTGCTAAAAAACCAATTTACCATTCAAATGAAAAGAGGCATAGTGAGTTTAACCAAGAATGAGCTTTAAAACTAAGTTTGGGGTGGCGTCCACATTTTAATTGCTTGAGGACAAGCAATGTTCTAAGTTTGGGGTGGAGAATAGCAAGCTATCTAAGTTTGAGTTCAAAAAGCCAGGAAGAAAGAACAAAAGTGCGGCAAAAAAATGAAAAATTTATGCAGCAAAGCTATGAAAAGAACAAAAATGTGAGTTCAAAAGAAAAGAATTGCAACAAAGTGCTGTAGAAAAAGAAAAAGAATATCAACGAAAAGAAGATAATGAATGAAAGCAAGAAAAGAGGAAAAAAGATGAAAATTCTGCTACACGAAAACTTTTGTTTGCTGCATAAGTGAGAGAATTAAGGAGAAATAATGCAGATCCAGGCTAGTTTTAAAATAAATCACTCAAAATGCCTCTGATCTTTTGAAATTACACGTATTGTTTTCCATTTTCTTCAATACCTACCTTAACCTTAGCCTGTTATAACCTGAAAAAGTCCTCTAGATGTGTGATTACATGTATTAAGCAGAGGAGATTGAGAATATGGGCAAGCATATGGTAGAGTGCAGTGAAATTGATGATTTAGAGTGAAAACAGTACCCAAACAATGTTGAGTGATGAGAGAAACACTTTCAAGTGAGTTGTGATCATGTTTATTAATTGTACTCACATGAACTTTGTTGATATATATGAACTTAGATAGCAAATTCTTGCCCAGAATTGATTAATGCAGTATGGCTATCATGATGAGCATTGGGATGAGCAATTTGATTGAAAATTCTACAGAAATCATAGGAGTGGAATTTGAAATTTCTGAGAAAAGCAGTTTGTAAAATAATTTTTGAAAAATGGAGGAATTATCCTTGGTTTAGTTTGATTTGCTTGAGGACAAGCAAAAATTCAAGTTTGTGGTAGTGATGAATCCATATTTTTACTAGTATTTTACTATAGTTTTAATTCATTTCATAAGAAAAATGTATTGGAAAAAGCAGAAAAAATCATAAAAATAGAATGATTGGAGAATTTCTTTAAATACATAGTTAGTTGAGCATTTATGAATTTTCTGTGTAAAAATTAATAATTGAAGTGTGTTTTTGTAGAAAATGCTGAGTAAAGACCATGAGGTTGATAGATCAATGGAGAAATAGCAGAAAAGTAGTAAGTCTGGACTCAAAAACCATGGCTCATGGAGTTTAAGTTGGGCGTGGTTACTCTTACCAACGAAAGTGAGTGATTCATAGCTTAAATGAGAAGTTGAGTGTGGGCGTGATCACTTTTATCATTGAAAGTGAACGTTCCAGAGAAGTTCAATCTCAGCTTAGCTGTGCATTGTCACTCTCGCCAACAAAAGTGAGCATTCCAGAGAAGGTAGAATTTCAATATACTCTGCGTGGTCACTCTTGCTGGCGAAAGTGAGCGTTCCAGAGAAGGCGAAGTTTCAGAGTATTCTGCGTAACCATTTTTATCATTGAAAGTGGATGTTCCAGAGAGTCCTCAACTTGGCAAGTTGCGCGTGACCACTTTTACTCATAAAAGTGATTATGCACAACGTCGCGACCTTCTGCGTGGCCACTCTTATCAGCAAGAGTGATAACGCCAAGAGTCGGGATTTCTATAAATACATGTTTTGAGCTCAGATCTCGAGGCCTTTCATTCATTTTCTATTTTTTCTGTTAGATTCTCGTTGGGAGAAAGTGAGAGAGAGGGGTGGGGTCGAACCTCGAACCTTCAAGAAGAGGGATTGGATTAAAGCTCGTGGCTATGGATTTTCTAAGTTCTTCTTCTTCTTCTCTTTCTTTCTCTCTCTGCCACAATGTCTGTGTAATTTCTTATAGTTAGGAGTTTATGGAACTCGAATTGATGTATTGATTTGATTCTTGCTTCTGAAATTCGAGTATTTGGATTAATTGAGTTGTTAATTCTGCACTTTACATAATCTTTGAATGGGAATTCATTTGATTAACCTTAGAGGAACATTTGCCAATAGGAATTGGACTTGATTCTCTGATCTGAATTAACAACCAGAATTAGGGGTTCCTTAGGGATAAGTACACTTAATTCTACAATCCTAATGTTCTAATTCTAAATGCAACATGAAATTGAACTTCACCTAAGGGATTAGGGTGGTTTAGTTGCTTGTTAAGGTCAATGAGTTAAGGGATTAACCTTTGGCTATTAATATGCGAAACTGATTGTCAATTAACCAAGTTCTTGAATGTTCAGAGGTATAATTGAATTAATATTGACATTCTTGTGAAGTAAATTCCTAACTATTCTTCATTCCTATCTCATTTCATCACAAATCTTAAACTCTATTTTTCTGCAAGTTCTTTACTTTTAATTGCTCTGGTTTGCTGCTATTACATGTTACAACTCTCCTTCCAAATTCGTATGGCTCAAATGGTTATAATTCTGTGAAGTGGTACTTGAAACCTAAATTTCCTATGGAGATAATATTCGGATCTTAAATTTACTCATTACTTGCTGCAATCTTAGTGCACTTGCTAGTGTTAATTGCGAACAACAGCTGAGTCCAAGGGTGTTCAACCTTCAACAGGATTTGTTTAACTAAATGATGAGAAATAAGTGGAGGAAAAATGTGTGTGATCAGCCAATATAAAGATAAAAAGAATTAGTGTAAATAGTTACAGAGATATATTAAGAGTGGAATATGAAGCTGATTTTGGAAATTTGAGAGAAATATAAGGTGGTGAATGCTATTCGTAGTTGCACATAAACTAATGAGAGTATCATAGGCCACACACTTATTTCCTGACTCATATTCCTAACCATACTTTTCCTAAGGTGCTAAGTTGCACATGTTGTATATGTGTTGCGACAGCCAATTGACGACTATCCATAGTGTGGAAGATCTCAAGGAATCCCAAGGAAAATGATTATCAATGGTGAATACATATTGAATAATTGGATAGTATGATCTTAGTGTATGTATTATAATATTGCTGATATGATTGTCATTGTGCTTGGTTTGTTGTGTAATCATTATTAAATCAATTGTTCAGTTCTATTTTAGTGGTGAGGAGAAGACTCATCCTTACTCACATTTTTAGTAAGAATGACCATTCGTTAGAGACCCATTAGGCTGACTGAGTGAAGTGTCGAGAATAGATTAAATGATGTATTTAGGAAATGACAGAAGGTTTGTCATTGCAAATATTTTATAGATAGTGAGCTTGGATTTGAAGAAGTATTTTCTGTAGAAATCATAATAGGGTACAATGTTTCTTTTGATTATCCTACTAGTGGTAGGATACATCACACCCTCAACTTGCATATATACAAAGGGACGGTTAGAACATCAGCAATGGTGAACTATGTGTATACTTTTCATGACACGACCACCTGGGAAGGCCAGTTAACTTTACCCAAGAGCAGATAATTGATATAAAGGTCATAGTTGACACTGAAAACCATTATGACAAGGACCTGACGCAGGAAGAAAGGAAAGAAATAGAAGGCTAGTTTGATGAAGATTGTGATCATATTCTCAGGATTTTGGTATGAAAGTGATATGCTCATTCGGACTTAATGTATTTTAACTTGTAATTATTTTTTATTATGACATTGTAAATATTGAACTCGTGTAATTATATAATATAAATAAGTTAATTATTTACTTTCATTCAAATTTTAATTTATTTAGCAAATTTTGTTATGATGAAAAACACTTAATCTCATTTAAAATTCTATCATTTTAAATATGGATTGAATGTTGTAAAATAAAAGTTTTGAAATTCTATTAAGTTTTTTCATGAATAAGAAAAATTTAATTAATAATTTAAATAGAATTATGAATCTCTTATAAATTATAGAAAATGATTTATTAATTCACAGCGTTATATTTTTAAATTTAAAATAAATAGTAGCTCAAAAATTGAAATGAATTTTTTAAAATATAAAAAAAATGATGATAATAATAATAATAATAAATTATTGATAGTAAAAAACAAAAATTTAAAGTAAATAGAAATGACGCAAGTATATATTTATCTCATGATAAAATTGAAAAAAAATATAATTTTATATGAAAATACAATAAAAAATATAAATTTAAATATGATTGGGTTCGGTTTGATTTAGTTTTAAGAAAGGGAATAGAATTATCAATTCGGGTTTAACTCGTTGGACTGACCCATTTAGTCCCCTAATTTAAACAGGTCGGGCTAAAGGTAGTTTAATCCAACAACTTGCATAACCTGCGGCGCAAAACCCATCTAAAAATAGATTGGGGCGGGTTCGGATCAGGTTGGCCTGTCCGTTGGCTCTTCAAAAAAAATCACCCTTTTCTTTGTTGGAATAAATAAGTGGTAATCAACTAATCCTAATTTTTATATCGTAATCAATTATATATACATGTCAGTTAAAGTTGGACTTGGCCATTGCAATAGGATATTAGAATAGGTGAGAAAAAAAGAACTTAATCCATTTCAATATACTGGTACGTAACTTTGTGGTTTGTAGGAATAAAAACAGTTGGATGTATCACCTACAAAATTGGCACAATGTAGTTGATCAATGTAATTCGTGACAAGAAAAATTACATTTAGACTAGTAGAAATCATTAAATCCCATCATTTTCAACAAATTAACCAACTATCCTTAATTAATATTTCTCTTTGAGAACCGAAATGAACTTATATTATAAAAGACAACGATAGGTCCTCTATATTTACAATCTCTTTAAAATCACACCAAACTTTACAACCCTTCTGAAATTGATCCCACTGAAATAGCAATTTTAGCACTCGGTAATACAATATATCCACAAACTCTATCTTCTTTTCTTTTTTCTTTTTTCTTTTTTTTTTTTTTTTTGCTTTTGTTTTCTATCATATGTTGTAAAGCAAAGGCCAATAACAAGTCAAATCTTTGTTAATTAGTGGAAGCTTCCTGCGGCCATGTTTGCAGCTGCCTTAGCCTCATCGGCAGGCTTTAGACTCGGCAGCAGGAAAATTGCCAACACGGCGGTGATGGCGGAAGCCACTGCACCCACCACAAAAGCTGGCAAGTTGCCACCACCAAACAAAGCATCCCATGGACCACTTAGTGCCGACACCACCATCTGTGTATACACACGTGTACAAAGTTAGTCAAATAATTTCATATATGACAGTCATTTTTTTTCTACATAATAATTATGTAAATGAGTTCTAACCTGTGGAATGACAATTGCAAGATTTAGGACTCCCAGAGATAAACCTGAGACAAACAAGAAAGGTTATATAATTTGGCTTATAATTTGGGTATAACCCAAGTTCGCTATCAAAGTTGTATCTGAATCTATGTTTAGTAAAGCTTAAATTGAAAAAAAAAATAACTAAAATTACATTTGTAAATAGTTGAAATTAGTTATGAGTTGGTTTACCTTGACCTGCTCCCGAAGTGCTGGAGTATATTGAAGCGAGAGCAAACGGAACGCTGTAGGTAACCTAGACCATGCACAGCAAATAAATATTAAGGCATCTCATCATTGTTAGGCTTTACTAAAAAATATTTGAGAATTATTTAATTAAAATAATACTAAAAAATATTTGTGCACTCATTGATTATTACCGAAACAGAGTCATTTTGGAAATGAAAAGGAGAAGAGCATTACCGCAAGAGGGATTCCAACAACTGAAAAGAAAAGCAAGGCGCTAATTTTGACACCTTCGGAAGGGTGTCCAACGGCTGCAGGGTTCAAGTGGCGTTCATGTTCCGCTTTCTTGGAAATAACCACTGTCATTGCGAATGCTATAGCGAGAATAACATTAACAATTCCCCACAATCTCTTAACTCCCCCAACCATACGACCCAACGGTTCCACCGCCAATGACATCACCCCCAAAACGACAGCATTTAACATAAGCCCCAATGACCCAGCACGCACTCCCGCAGCGTACGAATCCTCACCTACATCTCCACCATACACCTCACGACCCATCCAATCTGTGTCGAACAAAAAGTAAGGGAACCACCCGATCCAATTCACAGCTGTCACAATCATTAACATCCACATAGGCTTCTTCAGTTCCTTCAACGCGCCAAATATTTGAGAAAAGCATGAAGGTTGCCCTTCTCTGCTCAATTCCGGCGTTGTCATCACAGGGTCTTTCACGTAAATGAGAGCAATGATAGCCAAAATGAGAAGGAACAAAATTGAGAAAAAGAAACAACTCTTCAAGTTAGCACAAAAGACGTCGCAAGCTTTTGTCTCAGTGAAAGGGAAGATTTTGTGAAGGCCTTTGAAAGAGCCTGCCGCGTACCCCAAGACTTGCCCAACAGCCATGAAGAATGAGAAGAAGGCATTGCCCATTCTCGTCTTCTTGTGGTCCCCAGCGGCCAAGTCACCAAGGAACGCACGACAGGGTCCTTGAAGCATATTGTTTGCCACATCAAGGATCCAAAAGCCCACCACGAAGATTGCCACGGCACGGGGCCGGGTTTTCTTTGTGATGTCGTCGCCAGCAGCGTGTCCTATATCTGCTGCATAGCCGATGAGAAATACAGCGATGGCGACGGCAATAGCGCCGTAGAATATGAAGGGGCGGCGGCGACCAAAGCGAGAGGTGCAACGGTCACTGTAGTAGCCGACTATAGGTTGTACGACCAATCCTGAGATTGGGCCGCACAGCCAGATAAAGGCAGCCCAGGTGTGTGGGACGCCTAAAAGCTGAACATAAGGGGTTAGCAGAGAGAGTTGAAGAGCCCAGCCGAATTGAATGCCAGCAGCAATGGATGCCACTACAATCATTTTTCGGAGTGGGCTTGCTTGGGGCTGAATGCCCTCCACAGCAAGGGAGGAGGATTTTGTGTCATTGGCTTTAGTGGGGGGTGGAGGGTCCATGGTGAAAGACCTGAGAGAGAGCGAGTTAAATAGATGAACCTTTGCTTGTTGGGTTCCTGTGTTTTCTCCCTCTGCAGGTCTGGAAGAGGTGATGGAGGAGGAGACGGAGAAAGAAGGAATGTGTTGTGTGTCAATGGAGAGACGAAATAGGGGGTTTTATAGAGCGAGGAATGAGTTTGCTGAATTGCATTGGATGGGTGTGCATGGAAGTTGGAGAGTGTGTCTTAAAATATGTGTATATGCTATAATTGGTAATGAATGGTTGAGTTTATCCCTTTAGCAACAAATCCAACGATAGCGTTGGTGTTATACAATAACAATACGGATGATGAACGAGAAAAGCACAGCTTCACATAATTCTTACATTTTTCAAGTATATTGTTTATAAAAGAATTTCTAATATAAAAAATATGGTACTCAATAGACGAAATATTAACAATTACTAACTTATTTAAAAAAAAATAACGTTTTGCTTTTTATCCCATGTATAATTATGGAATCAAATGATCATAATTAAAAAAATTAATTACTTTCTAATAATATTATTTATATATATCATAATTTTTTTTTGTTCTGTTATCGATATCATTTGACGCATTATGAAGCATCGGTTTATTTTATTTTTTAAATATTAATTTTAATATATCAAATATGTTAAATAAAATTACTATATATTTTTTGAAAAATATGTAAAAAATAATAATTTTAAATTTAATAGTTAAAATAAAAGTTTGACTTTACGATTTTATCAAGACTATAAAATCATTTTAAAAATATTTAATAATTATGATAAAATTTGATTTTATAATAATTTTGTATTATATTTAATATTTTTAAACTATGATTAAAAATCTTGATGATCATATTTTTCGTGAGTTTGGTTAAGAAAAATAAATCAATTTTAAATATATCAAAAGATTTATACAAAACTTGATTATAAATTATATTATTAACGTAGTTTATAAATTATCTAAGCAATATTATAAATATATATATTTAATCAATATTTTATAAATAAGAATTATAATATTGATGAAGTATTTTTTTGAAAAAAAAATTATTTTTATGAGAGAAAATTTTATAACGGCACTTATGAGAGATTACAAAAGAGTAAGAGGCCAAGGTAAATGTAAATGGCATATTGACGTGGTAGTATGATAATAATAAAGATTAAAGTGTTCAATCTGCTTATCACTACATTCATAATTTCTTCATTGCAGGTAGCAGTTTGGAGCTGTGTTTAAATATAGGCGTTATAGAAAATTTAGAAAGTCGGTGCATCAAAGAAAATAGTGGTATTCGTATTGCGACTATTGCTTAATACAGTTCCAAGTTCTAGTGCAGAGGAATTTGACAAAACCATCAGAAGCTTATAGGTTGAAGATAAGGATGTACTACACCTCTTTTTGCATTGTGGTATTTTTGAGACTGTAGTACATGATATTCTAATAGTTTAGTGTCAATATATGCTTACCTAAAATCCCTTATTAAGGAAGGATCTAAAATCCTTTGGGTGAAATGGAAAACAGTTTGTAGACCGCAAAAGAATGGTGGCCTGGGCATTAGGAATGTGCAGTGGTTTAACTAGGTACTTCTTGGTAAATAGTTGTGACGAGGTGTTAATTGTTCTAGTTCATTGTGGATGCGGGTGTTGGAAGCTAGGTACGGCAGATTAGCTTATTCTATTCATCGTCCATCAGTCTACAACAGATGTTCTTTGTGGTGGTGTGATTTGCTGAAGGTTATTCATCAAGGAAATTCATGGCTGGATGAGAAGTTGGATAGGAGTGTGGATGCAGGTTTGCACACTCTTTTTTGGAGAGATAAGTGGGTAGGTGGAGTGTGATTGTGTGAGGCATTTCTGCGATTGTTTATAATGGTGAGAAACGTTGAATCTTGTGTATTGGAGAATGGTTTTCATGATGGCACTAGGTGGGTTTGGGATGTTAGTTGGTGAAGAGGACTATTTCAACATGAGATCTCAAGCTTTAATTTTATGTTGGAGCTTGTGGATAGAGTTTTTATTAAGGTACTACAATAAGATAAATGGATATAGAGGGCAGATGTTGTTATTCAGTGCATTCTGCGTATTTATGACTATTTGAACTTTTTGGTGGTCCAAATATGGTAAATCAGTGTATAGCGTACGCCTTGCAAAGGCTATGGAGAGGAAAGGTCTCTCTTAAATGTCTAGTATTTTCTTGGCAAATGTTGTTGAATGCACTTCCTTGTAAAAGTTTGTTTATTGATCATGGTGTTCAAATTGATTATATAACTTGTTTTGAAGAATTTTCAACTCATTTATTTTTAACGTGCTCAGTTTTATTCCAAATATGGTATTTTACTGCATGTTGGCTTGGATTCTCACTGGTTTTGCCTTCAAATTTATTAACTCATTTGCTTTCTTGGGTTGGTGTTGGTTGTAGTAAAAGAGAAGGGATATGTTTATCAATTGTTTGGGTAAGTACAGTCTGATCTTTGTGGTTACATGAAAATCAAATTGTGTTTTCTAATGGTGTTTTGGACATTCTGAAGTCCTGGAAATGACTATCACTTGTTAGTAAAGGAGAAACTATTTTGTTAACTGATTGGTATTTGAATCTACGAAATTGCATCCGACTTAGTTAGGTATAAGTATGTTTTTGCTTTATTTTTTTATTTTTTTTAGTAAGTATTAGTTTTTTCTATGTGTATATGGGTTTTGAGTTCCCCTTGAACTCTCTATAATAATATATTTTGCTTATAAAAAAATATATATGCTTACCTAAAAATTTGCATGAAACATTATTAGACATATGTGAAATTCAATGTACTAAAAAGGAATGGAGGGATGTGTAACAGTAGTAATATGAACAATTTGATCTAAACAAAATAATATTTTTTCAACAATGGTATTTTAAATGTTAATGAAGTGTTTGATTATATTAAGTATCGTTCTTAGAAATGACTTGCAACAGCTCCTTTGAAGTTCAATTGTATATGTGAATTAAATCAATGATCCTTTAACATGTATTGCTAACTTCCATTAGAGATGTAATAAGTTAGAGTACCATCATACTCTGTTTTTATCTCTAATAAAATGTTAATACTTAAAAAAATATCAATGAAGTATAAATAATATTTAATAAATAGACATCTAATGTTAAATTTTAGTCAATTTTATGGATAGCACATTAATATATTATTTAATTTTGTTAATATGAAGATAATAATAATAATAATAATAATAAATAAATAAATAAAAATATTTATTGTATTTTTAGTATTGCAATACAATAAAAGTGTGTTTTTTTTGTAAAATTGTTATTATATTAACGTTATTATTTAAGGATTAAAGTTAATCAAACTAATTAATATTATAATGTAATTATTTTTACATATATTTATTACTTTAAAATATTTTTATAATTAAAAATTTAATTAATGTTATAATATAGTTATTTTTACATATATTTATTACTTTAAAATATTTTTATAATTAAAAATTTATAAAGGTAAAGTTGAGGATATATATATATATATATATATATAATTAAAATAAATGATAATAAATAATATAAATTGAAAATAAATTATTATTTTATTTATAAATATATATAATAGTATAAAATTAAAATAACTGGTAATAATTTATATAAATTAACAAATAAAAGTAGAAATTTAAAATTAAATGATTATTTATTTACCAAATTATATCAATATTGAATTATGCATTTTAACTTAATATATTATTTAATGCTAGGTTGATGACATGGTTCACTGAATTTTACATGTATATATAGAGAGAGATTGATTTTGTAAATAGTATAATTAATATATTATTTTATGTTATAGTGTAGTGTAATTTTTTTTTCCTGGAAAGTGTAATTAATTTTATACATACTTGTTATTTTTAAATGAAAATTAAAAGATAATATTTTCATTATGTATTTAAAATTATAATAGTTTACCTAAACTGACAAACAAAAGAAAAAAAAAATTTAGTATTTATTTATTAATTTACATGTACCTTTTAACAACACATTTCTGTTTATAGTATAGTTAACAACTGTATTAATGTTACATTGTACTTAATTTTACGCATATATTTTAGTTTAAAATATTTTTATAAATAAAAATAATTAAAAATAAATTAGTGAACATGTATTTAAAAAATTAAAATAATTAATAATAATTTCCATAAATTAATAACAATTATAAATTGAATCATTATTTTATTTTTATATATATATATATAATATTTTGTGTTTTAATTATAGTATATTAATATATTATTTATTCTCTAATAATTCCATAGTGTAAGAGAGAGATTCTTAATTTAAAATATTTTAAAAACAAAAATAATTAGAAAATAAAATAATAAAATGTATTTAAATTAAAATAACAAAGAATAATTTATCTAAATTAATAAATAAAAGTGAAAATTAAAAACTTACGATGCGTGAGTTTTGTTCTTGGATGTGGGATAAAAAATGAGTAAAATACTCTCTCTTTGACAAAATATAAATATTACACTATTCTTCTTTTTTATTTTAAAATATATTATTTAATTTATTAATTATATACTATCAAAATTATTATTTAAAAACTAAATAAATAATTTATTTGAGTTAATATTAATATATTGTGTTATTTGAAATTTACTAATTTATCCATTAGTTATAATTTTCATGGATGAATTTTTTAAAAATTTTATTTTCATTATTTAATGTCAAAATAAGCCGTTACTACTTTTATAATAATGATAAATACTTACTTTTATTAAAAAAAATGTCAAATAAATATTTAGTAATATTTAAATAAAAAATAAATAATAAATTATAAAATATTTTTGTCTTTTAAAGAAAGTTATATATGTCTCCGTATTTTAGAAGAGAAATGTAATTTTTCATAACAAATTACTTAAATTGAAATTTTTTTAAAATTAATTAATAGAGGTTAGTTTGAGCTATAAGTGATTCAATATTTTTTGAGCAAAGTCTTAAGCTTTAAATCTTGTGTAACAAGTGACTCGTTATCATTTAAACAAAATTTTAAATTTAATTTTTTTTATGAAAGAGATAAAAAAAAAATATTTATTATGTTACTGATTATTAGAATAATATCAAATAAATATAAATATAATATACAAAGAAAAAATGAATGAGAGTCAAATAAAAATAATGTGAATTTTTTTACTAGCAACATTTATTTGTGACTTTTTATAAGGTCTTTAATTCGAGGACATTGCATGCAAGTTTT